TTTAGGTCAGTGACTGTAGGACTGTTAGCCAAAAGGTGTATTCATCAAGGAAGGTCTTACTAACAGGTGCACTGCATTATTATCCACTACAGGCTTATAAGAGAAATAAAACACGCTTTGTCTCGTTGATCACGGTGTGAATGATGTAATGTAGCTCTAACGTTAGGTAATATATATATAAATATATATAAAGCTAATAAAGTTGAACATCAAAGAGCTTCAGCAACATGAACACGACTGTTTACTGGAGTCAACAGCAATAATTGACTCCTCGTTTGACACCGCTGCTGTACTTTAACAGAGCCTGCTTTGAAAACAGACACAGTTTCATCGCAATTCAACGTAATATGTGCAAATGGAGTGACTCTACTTTAAAACAAAACCGTGATAAAAAGTAACGCTAGCGAAGTGTTAGCATCAAGCTAGTGAGGCGTCGTTGAGGATCCAGTCGAGGTGACTTTCCATTTCAGCTCCGGTTACTCTGGTGAGCCATTATGTGGCATACCCTCTTGTTCAAGTAACGACTGCACTCTTGAAACCATGATTGCAACAACAACAAAAAATGGTGTTAAGCAAAAGTGACTAACAAGTGAGCTCGCCCACTTCACGTTAGCTGCTACCGTTAGCACTGCTTCGGAGAGTCACGTTAGTCAAGTTGTGTGTAGAGAGTTCATCAGAAAGCGAACAAACAACACAAACCAAAGGGAGCTCGTACTTACACAGTCCATATTGCGTTAGCAGTATCGCCGTCCTGTGACCGGGTTGCAGTCGGCAGGCTGTTGCTAACCACACTGGTCTTCCGCTACAACTCGCAATGAGCACCTTGAAACTGTAGTCGTTACCGTAATACATGTAGAGCAGATCACCGATTAATCCCCTACAGTACGAGGCTGTGTGGGCCGAAATACCTTTATACGGTAATTTAGGCTGCAAGTGAAGTTACAGTAGTCAGTGACAACCGATCAGTTATTGTAGTACATAGAGCCACTTCACTGTAGGCTGTGCAGGGATATAACTATAGAGACATTACTTACTTTGAACTACATAAACAATGCTGCCAAAATCAATGACACGTGAAATGAGTAACAGATTTATTTATATACAAAACTGTTTACAGCAAGATTTCTGAATTAACATAGACCCACAAAGGGAATACTGGTGTTCAGGTGCACAACACCACCTGCACCATAGTATCAAGTCAACAGTAGGAAAAACAAAAAACCCTTTAAGAGCACCTTGAGTCGTGAGGGGAAGCAGATGAGGGGAGGAGGGGAGGAGGGGAGGGGTGTTTGAACAACTGTAAGGCACAAGACACAGCATCACCAGCTTCTCTTCAACCATCATCAATAACCCATCAATCAACCACTTACTCAGCAAAAGCACTTGATAAAAAGTTACAATAACCCACTACAGGTAGAACATGAGGATTATGGTGAAAATCCACAGTGTCATGTCTTTGTAAGGCTACAGGATCTAAGCAACACAAGTCATTAAGTCTCAAGATCTCAAGTATCTAGCGGTGATCATGCAAGTCCACAATATAAATTAAAAGGGACTGCACACCACCCTGGCTTGGTCAAATCAAAACCATGAGATCAAAAATCACTAATCTAACTCTGTGGCCTTTGGCCATTTAAATAGTCTTACGCAGTGTTAAAATGCAATTTAAAAAATTGCAACTCAACAGTGTTTAGAATTATAACACACTTATAATCATATACTATACTTAAGATATTGAAGGGAGAGCAAACCTGCACCAATCAAACCAATTTCTAGGATTCTATTTATATTGTATAAAAAGGCCATTACTGGTAAATACAAAAGATCTATTCATATCTATACTAATTTTCTCTGAGGGTCGTCCACAAGATAACATCTTTATTACAGTCCATAAGGAGAAATTAAACTGTAGAAACAATGGAAGATGACTAATCTGCTTAAGCAGAAAAGTTTAAAATGTGAGTTGTTACATATACATATAGATTCCTCCATCGTGAAGACACGGTTCACATGTTCACTGGCGAAAGGTACCTGAAGATAAGTTGATAAAAATTACAGTGACAAGAACTGTGAAACAATAGTGAAGCTTCTTATGTGAAATCTCACTCCAGAGTGTTCAAGGAAATCCACCAGTTGTGAGAAATACTGATATTTAACACCACATTTAAAGCAATGTGTACTGAGACTATCCATCACTGTCGAAAAAAGACCTGCTGAAATAATACTAGTCCTCAAAAGGTCATTAACAAACCCCTTACGGTGCATTTACTACTACTACTAAATCAACTACTCAAAGAGTTATGAGACATAAGCCAATTGTGTCTCAAACATCAGATTTACATGTAGTCATTACTATAATATGTTCATGAAAAATGTTGATGCAATTCATTGGGACTAGTATGTTTGGCAATATAATTTAGATTTCTGAGCATTTAGTTGAACTCCAAAGTCAAGATTTGGCCCAGTCATAGATTACATTTCAGTATATAAAGAAAGTGTTCACTGATGGTGCTTCTTTGTCTAAAACAAAGATTATTCTTGCTGTTAGAAACATCTCCCTGTGATTACACTTAGTGGAATAGTTGATCAACTGTCGGGGCAGTTGCCGTGCTATGTAAATCAATCTGGTATCACAATGGAGCAGAAAAGTTCCACTGCAGTGTCTTGGTGTCGGTGAGGTCGCGATTGGCAAGCTGGTGAAGTTGTGCCTCCTGTCTTCAGCAAATGAGCTTACTGATGTCCTGGATACACTTTTACATAACAGCACACTTCTTCTCCTCTTGGGGTGCATTTCCATCAGCTTTCTCCATCTCCAAAATGATCCGCTTGAAAACCTCCACGGCAGTCTGCAATGCAAGAATATGGTCATCAGAGTGTGAATCCGGGTCAGAAATAATATGCATACTGCGCTGATGAGTCGGTATTCCAAGAGGTAGCCATCATTACCTCATTCTCCTTGGCTGAGGACTCCATGAATGCAGCACCCCAGGAATCAGCAAGCTGCTTTCCCTCCTCTGGCTTGATAACCCTGGGGAAAATGAAATTGAAACTTGACTTAAAAGAAAACAGAAAACTCTGTTTGTATTACACACAGACACTGACTTAGAGCACGCTTTCGAAAGATCATTTGAGTAGGTGGTAACAGAAAGGTCGAGAGAGAATTATGTGGTGAAGATGAAAAGAACGAAACCAACAATGTGTTCTTGTCTCATAATACTTTCTGACTTCCCTCATCTTATTTTGACTGTAGTTTTTAGCAAATGTTACAATCCGACATGAGTACATATTTTTGTACAGCAGCACGACAGCGTACGTGAGATCAAAATAAACACTGCAATGCTTATGATTTGTTTTTAACAGTTTTTGGACAACAGGTCTAGATCACAAAGGAATAATATATCAGGCTTTGGTATGTAAGAAATGTACTTGTTAACAGGATTCATTATTGGTTTTGCTCTTTTTATGAGACTTGTTGTTTACTGTAACACTTATTAAGTTAATGCATATTTTAAGACCAAAATTTGACAGCATATGTAGCATAAACTATATTCAACAGATTTATATGGAAGACATCCAAAAACCTTGATTACCTTTCCATGTGGAGATCTTTTTTGTTCCCTACAAGAACAGTTGGGACCCTAAAAAGAAAATAATATCCTGGTTGAAAAAAACAATCACTTGGAAAAACAAAAAAGACAATTTTGAATTTTAAACATCCATCTAACTTACTGAATCTTCCCAACCATGTCTAGCAGCTTGTCGTGTAGAACCTGCACAACTTCAAAACTGAACAGAGACAGACATCAAAGTACCTTTAGATCTGAAAGTATACCGTATGTAACTCTATTCTGTATGTTACTTACTACTAACTTACTATTATAATATACCCTAATATAGCCCTTCTCTGATGCAGCATTAAAAAA